CAGTCTGCCCTTATAGGAGCTCAAGTGCTGTGTTGGAAGCTCTGTTGTTCCATGCAGAGATGCTGGTCTGGTACTTTTAAGTCTGCTGCAGTGGAACTCATAACCACCTCTTTTCCCAGGTACTCTGTCCTAGGAAGGTTGGCTTTATTTATAAGTTCCTGTCGTGCTGCTGCCTTTTTTCATAGACGCCCTGCCCCGCATGGTGTAGTCTAGTCACAATCTGCCAGCAGAGGTGTTGCTAAGCTGCAGGCTCTGCCCAGCCGCTGTGTGAACTACCTCTGTAGTGGCAGACTGCCTCGGTAGCCGTGGTCACCCTTAACCCACTGAGCTGGACCATCCTTGGTCCAGCTACACTTGCTGGGAAACTCTCAATCCAGAGCCTTTCAGATTCCTTGCTTTGTGGGGGTGGTACCCACCAAGCCAGATAGCCTGGCTCCCTGTCTCTGCCCCCTCCCTTTCAGTTGAATGGGCAGCTCTGTCTCCCAGGCATTCCAGGAGCCAGTTGAAATGGCTGCCCAGATTTGTGTGAGTTTCTGTGCACCAAGCCAGCACCAGCTGAAACTGCCATGCTGAAAACTTGTGCACTTTTCAGCCTGGGAATCTCCTGGTCTGTGGGCAGTGAAAATTTTTTGGAAATGTGGTGGGCACTCACCCTCTGTGTTGTTTTTGCTGGGAGCTGCACTCAAGAGCTGTTCCTATTCGGCCATCTTGGATCATCCCCAGATTTATTTTATCTAGAGGAGAACGAGGGCAGCATTTAAAACAAGCCACCACTGAAATATCTGCTCTTCCAAGCACCTTAGAGAAGATCTGGTAAAGAATCACCCTGGTTGTGTCAAAGTGACCTGGAGACAAAGTAGACCTGATGGTCCCCTGATTCTAGTCCACGAGTCCTTTTAAGTGATCATATATATGTGAGCTGTCATCTGAGAGAAGCTCAATAAGTATACTAGTCATCAGAGTGCAAGGAGGCAGTTATTTCATAAATTACATGCTAGTGTTTTATTCCAGCCTTTTATTTAAGCAACAACAACTTGAGTTTCTTGAGAATAATATTTATATTATTGGTTTGAGTAGTCTTAAATCCTTTGTAGCATGTGGTGGGGCTATAAACATACAAACACATATGTATATGAATTTGTGCTCAGAGCACAGTCTGAATTCTTACAATGGAATGCAGCATAATAAATCAATTAAATTCAACAAACTTTTACTTAGTGTGTGTGTTCATAGTGATGTCTTATACTAGTTTCCAGATCTAAACAAAATAAAAGACACTGATTTGGCCCCAAAATGCTCATAGCAGGGTGTGTAAGTATAGCATCCATATACCTTTTCTGGCCAGGAATGGGGCTTAGGGCACAGTGTGCAGGAATACAAAAGAGAATCAAAACTACCATGGAATGAGGACTAATGAGGTACCAGGCACCAATCATTTTATCCTCACAACATGTCCATATGGAAGGTACAAGCACATTGTTCCCAGGTTCCCCCCAAAAGACATCAAAGCAAACCCTCCATTTAAAAAAGCTAAATATAAACTTTTATTACATCCCAGTGCAAGATGTTTCTAATACAATCTATTTCCTTCAAAGATGGGGTAGAGAATGAGGGGTGGGGTTTGGACCACATATTTTTATTTTTACATTTTATTTCAGATTGGAAAATTTGTATTTCATTGTCAAATCAATTAAGAACACATTTATTACTCAGCATTGCTTGAAATAATAACTATAATGTTTAAAGTTTCAATTAAAAGCATAAACTTCTTTCAAGCTCAAAATTAAAACAAAAACACAAATATAAACTATATTTCATGTTCCGTTAATATTTAGCTGTGTGGCCATAGATGAGTATTTTTTCTCTGTGAGGCTGTTTTCTCATCTGGCAAATGAGGAAATTGATGCAGATTATCTTCAAGTTTCCTTCATGTGATTTAATACAACTATTTATGTCATGCTTGTAAATAGTTGGTGATGATGGAGGTTACTGTTCCCCGAAGCTGAATGCTGCAATGATTATTGGTAGGATTGTTAGGCTTTGTTTCTCAAGGGGATAATCGGATTGGGAAAAGAAAGAATAAGAATGCAGTTGCAGTCCATCCTTGTGAAAAGGGTACCAGTGTGCACTCAAAGCCAAGTCTTGAAAATAATAGCAAATACTGTATTGGGTAACAGCCATACCAGGCACTTTATAGATTTATCTGATTTAATCATGGTAAGAAGCTTCCAAAAGAATTTTCTTTGGTGCTGAAACAAAACAACTATTTAGAAGTCAAATGATTTGCCCAAGGTGACATATCTAGTAATTCACAGACATTCACACTAGAAATTCACACTCAAAAGATGTTCAAAAGGGGCTGCTTTGATAGGTCACACTAGGGCTGACAGGGTCCTAGGCTCCTGTAACTAATCCTGAAATTCTCTAGGAGGCAAAGGTTATCAATACCCTCACCTGTGGCCTAACAACAAGCTTGTATATTGGTGTTATGCCACATCCCCTTTTCCTAACAAAAGAGACTCGCATAGTGGCAATACAGAGCCTGATGGCATGGATTCGCTGGCCCATGCAGGGGTTTCAACATTTGTGCCAATATTTAAAAATTAGGAGATTACATATGAAGATGCATTTTTCTAGTTTCTTTTCAAAAATCTAAGCATCTAAAAATACAGAGCTTACATTCTCAACTGCCAACAATGAACTGGAGCCAGTGCTACTCTCTACCTAAACTACACTTTTGCATTAATTATAAAAAAGTTGACCCCACTGGGCTGAGGGAGGCCAGTGGGGTCACAGCTTGGTGAGAAGAGAACAAGCTGAATTTCGCTTGCTTTTTTGACTCCATAGCCAATGCCCTCATGCACAGTTGCCCATGGCAGTTCTAGCTAAGTGGCTCTTTCTGCAGATGGGGCATACGCTCTTTAGTTTGTTACAATCCCTAACATTCCCTTAATCCTCCCTAGCACTGAGACCCAGTACCAATTAAATTACTAAAAATCTATGGATTTTCAGAATTCTATACTCGGCCCACTTCACTCATTTCTCTTATTTCTTGGCCCCTGTAGGTCTTTTCATTTGCAATCCTTGCTACAGTGAGTCATGGAAGAAGGGTAGCATGGTGGCTTTCATATATATTTGCAAGAATTCTCAAAAGAGAATGGCAAACAGGCAAGAGTAGGCTAGAGTTATCAATCTTGAGGGCAGTTGAGCCCAACTATTTAAATATTTCCACAGATAAACTTGAATTCCTCCATTTCATGGGCCTACTTGGTCTTCCAGCAAACAACTCTCCTCTTGAGGTGTGTCTGAGCCTCAGGAACTACTGCTGGAGGTGGCTCGTGTGCTCCCATCATTAGCTTTGCCCAAACTCACAGCTCAGCCACTATGAATTTATCCTCACCTTCTCTTAAATGCCCTGAGCATTCCCTTTACTGCCGTTTCCTTATTTCTCATGGAGCACTGACTCACAAATCAACGTCAAAACTGCCACATTTGATCATTCCAACTGGACACAGCCCTCTTCTCAATTAAGGAAGCAAACCCATTGCTCAGTTAAACTCCGTGTTATGGGCTAAATTTTGTCCACGCCCCTCCAAAAAATATGTTGAAGTCCTAACCTTCTGATCCTCAGAAGGTGACCTTGTTGGGAAATAGGGTAATTGCAAATATAATATTAATATGAGGTGATACTAGGGTAGGGTGGGCCCTTAATCCAATATGAATGGTGTCCTTATTATAAGAAGGAGACACAGACAGACACGAGGAAAACTATCTGATAACAGAGGCAGAGGTTGGCATGATCTATCTACAAGCCAAAGAATACCAAGGATTACTGGCAATAGCCAGAAGCTGGGACAGAGACATGGAACAGGTTCTTTCTAAGTGCCATCAGAAGAAATCAACCCTCACCCAACCTTGATTTTGGACTCCTAACCAAAACTATGAGGGAATAAATTTCCATTGTGTTAAGCCATCCAGTTCATGGTAATTTGTTATAGCAGCTATAGGAAACAAACAAGCTTCAGTTACTAAAAATCAGTATAAGTCTGGCAGCCCAGGCCTGGACTACTGAAACAGTGCAGCTGGGATTTATTTCAAAAGGACAAAGCCCAATGGGTGACCCTTTGACTTTGGCCTGCTTATGATAGCCTGAGTGAACTGAGCCAATTGGAGACTGCAAATTTTTCCTTCTGTGTCTTAAATATGAAAAGTCTCTTGATTTTCCCTAACTTGCTATCCAACTTGCTACTATTCCCTTTCTCCCTATCTCCTGATAACTCCTCTGGTAGCGTGTTGACAGCAATGTTTCCCTGCCTGGATTCTCTGACTCACTTCTTTTCAATAACACTCTCTTCCTTGAATAATCAATACCCTGACCAAAGTGATGGTGTAGTTAGGTCATTAAGCAAAGTAGCTATGGCAGTAGAAATGAGATGCAGCTTTGTTTCCAACGTATTTTGCTTTTGGTCCTATTTATCTGGATAATGTTCTACACACGCAGCTTCTAAAAACTGACTAACGAGAAAACTGAGAATACAGAGCTGTTGTTATTGAGCAAGGAAGCCAAGAAAAGGTGGAGAAGGAGATCTCACAGGAAAAGGAGGATTATTTTGCATAAATCACATCCCCTCTCTGAACTTCAGGTGTCTTGAGGTGAAGAGTAGAACAGATACTATCTTTTCTGAATCTCTGTGCTAGAGTTCTATGACTCCATTGTCTTACAATGACAATGTCTAAAAAATAAGAATATGCAATAGCCTCAGGCTTCATGTTTGCTCCTTTTCAGGGGCATGTTCATTAAGGACATAACTGTCTTTGGATGATGGCTTTTGTAATCCTTGAGGCACACTATGGACATTGACTTACCATGCCTGTCTACCAGAGATACAGAGAAGCCACAGATAGCTTTGTCACCAGAAAATGGAAGCAAAAGTACTTTGGCTAACAGCAATTAAAGGATGAATGCAGAGAAAATCTATTAAGAAATTCAAATCAAGAAGGCTTCATCTCGGGGATGCAAAGCTCGTTCAACATACACAAGTCTATAAACGTAATTCACCACATAAACAGAACTCAACACATAAACAGAACCAAAGAAAAAAACCACAGGATCATCTCAACAGATGTAGAGAATGCCTTGGACAGAATTCAACAGCCCTTTATGCTAAAAACTCTCAATAAACTAGGTATCTATGGAATGTATGTCAAAATAATAAAAGCTATTTATGACAAACCCACAGCATTTATCATACTGAATGGGCAAATACTGGAAGCATTCCCTTTGAAATCTAGCACTAGACAAGGATGACCTCTCTCACCACTCCTATTCAATACAGTATTGGAAGTTCTAGCCAGAGCAATCAGGCAAGAAAAAGAAATAAAGGGTATTCAGTTAGGAAAGGAGGAAGTTAAATTGTCTCTATTTGCAGATGACATGATTGTATATTTAGAAGACCCGATCATCTCAGCCCAAAATCTCCTTAAACTGATAAGCAACTTCAGCAAAGTCTCAGGATACAAAATCAATGTGCAGAAATCACAAGCATTCTTATACACAAATAACAGAATTAAAGAGAGCCAAATCAAGAACGAACTGCCATTCACAATTGCTACAAAGAGAATAAAATACCTAGGAATACAACTAACAAAGGATGTAAAGGACCTCTTCAAGGAGAACTACAAACCACTGCTCAACAAAATAAGAGAGGACACAGATGGAGAAACATTTCATGCTCATGGTTAGGAAGAATCAATATCGTGAAAATGGCCATACAGCCCAAAGTAATTTATAGATTCAGTGCTATCCCCATCAAGCTACCAGTGACCTTCTTTACAGAACTGGAAAAAACCACCTTAAACTTCATATGGAATCAAAAGAGAGCCTCCATAGCCGAATCAATTCTAAGCAAAAAGAACAAAGCTGGAGGCATCACACTACTTGACTTCAAACTATACTACAAGGTTACAGTAATCAAAACAGCATGGTACTGGTACCAAAACAGAGATATAGACCAATGGAACAGAACAGAGGCCTCGGAGGCAATGCCATACATCTACAACCATCTGATCTTTGACAAACCTGACAAAAACAAGCAATGGAGAAAGGATTCCCTGTTCACTAAATGGTGTTGAGAAAACTGGCTAGCAGTGTGCAGAAAGCAGAAAGTGGACCCCTTGCTGACACCTTACACTAAAATTAACTCCAGATGGAGTAAAGACTTAAACATAAGACCAAACACCATAAAAACCCTAGAAGAAAACCTAGGCAAAACCATTTAGCACACAGGCATAGGCAAGGACTTCATGACTAAAATGCCGAAAGCATTGGCAACAAAAACCAAAATAGACAAATGGGATCTAATTAAACTCCAGAGCTTCTGCACAGCAAAAGAAACAATCATTAGAGTGAACCAGCAACGAATAGTATGGGAAAAAATTTTTTCAATCTACCCATCTGACAAAGGACTTACATCCAAAATCTACAAAGAACTAAAACAAATTTACAAGAAAAAACCATACAAACCCATCCAAAAGTGGGTGAAGGATATGAACAGACACTTTTCAAAAGAAGACATATCAGGTCAACAAGCATATGAAAAAATGCTCATCATCACTGGTCATTAGAGAAACGCAAATCAAAACTACTTTGAGATACCATCTCATGTCAGTTAGAATGGCAATCATTAAAAAATCTGGAGACAACAGATGCTGGAGAGGATGTGGAGAAATAGGAACACTTTTACACTGTTGGTGGGAGTGTAAATTAGTTCAACCATTGTGGAAGACAGTGTGGCGATTCCTCAAGGACCTAGAAATAGAAATTCCATTTGACCCAGCAATCCCATTACTGAGTATATATCCAAAGGATTATAAATCGTTCTATTATAAGGACACATGCACACATATGTTCAATGCAGCCCTGTTTACAATAGCAAAGACTTGGAACCAACCCAAATGCCCATCGATGATAGACTGGACAGGGAAAATGTGGCACATATACACCATGGAGTACTATGCAGCCATAAAAAACCAATGAGTTTGTGTCCTTTGTAGGGACCATCATTCTCAGCAAACTGATACAGGAAGAGAGAATCAAGCACCACATGTTCTCACTCATAGGTGGGTGTTGAACAATGAGAACACATGGACACAGGGAGGGGAGCATCACACACTGAGGTCTGTTGGGGGAGACTAGGGGAGGGACAGTGGAGGGTAGGGAGTTGGGGAAGGATAACATGGGAGAAATGCCAGATATAGGTGATGGGGATGGAGGCAGCAAAACACATTGCCATTTATGTACCTGTGCAACAATCCTGCATGTTTTTTTACATGTATCCCATAATCTAAAATGCAGTTTTATATATATATATATATAAAGAAATTCAAATGCAGATTTCAATGTTCGCTCCTTTTCATTCTTCCTTCCCATCTTTCGCTCTCTATTTGGCTCTCTTTCCCCCACCTTGTTTCTCTCTCTCTCATTTTTTTGTATACAGTTTCTCAGTAAAATACATTTTATTAGATTTTATAACAAACAAACTTATGAAATGCAGATATACAAAAAGGAAAAATAAGAAACATTCATAATTCTACTATTGAAAAATAAATGCTACTAACAGTTTGGTTTATAAACTTTTGAATGTTTCTCACTGCCCTTGCATGAGTGTCTGTGTAAATATAATCTCCAACTTTGCAGAGAAGTACAAGAATTGTTGCTAACTTTAATACACTTCCAAAAGATTTCAAGAGCACCTTCTCTGCCATTAGAATATACTCAGAAAGTCAATAAAATATTTTAATCCATTCCAAGAGCCCCATATTTATTGGGTCTATGAGAATGAAGTTTATAGCATTTGTGTTTTTATAAGAAGAGTAGATGGCCATTTGGGGACAAGTCGTGTCATTTGGAATAACTGCAATAGGTGGAAAAATGCCTCAGATTCTGCTGTAAGACTAAGAGCCACAGGAGCTTTTAGTTCTATCACTGGTTGAACATTTATTGGACATCAACTTCATATACAATCTTACTGTCTGCACTGGGAAATGGCAAAAAAGTATAAGAAATTATCTCTCACCTAAAGAAATGTATAGTGTAGATTTCTTAAAAATTCAGTTTTAGAACTCATTTTTCAAACTAAAATCTTATGCTAAAAATAATATATTGAATAGATCAAAGCAGACTATTATGGAAGATGCAGAGATAGATGGGCCTGGGGACCCATTCATCCATTTTCCTCACGTACAACATAAGATCCCCACATACTCTAGAGTGAAAGCCAATAGCTACAGGAGATAAATGAAAACATTGACAGTCAAGGTTTGTGAACATAAGTGTGGTTGGTCATGGTAAAGAAACCACAGTTAATACGGTCCTTCTATGTGCTGGGTGCTCGTTCTGGAGCTTTGCCTCTATCAATTAACTTAATCCTCACAACAGTCTCAATCTGTATGTATAATGAATCTAGGTTTGAAAATACAAAAATGACTTGTTCAATATATCTCATAGCTATATTTAGCAGGACTGAGTTTCAGAGGCAAGTCTAACTGACTCCAACATTCATGACAACTCTTACACCTAAATAGAATGCAAGATTTGAATAACTATACACACACACACAAGCATGTGCATGCACACATGCACACACAGGGTATACATAATTAATTGTGAAATGAGAGGTTAACAGTCAGGTTTGATGTGTCTTGATTAGTAAGGGGAAGCATTTACATAGAAATTCTGGGTGTAGTCATTTAAGTATGACATAAAAGGGAATGGATTGCCTGGCAGATCATGATGAATGAATCAAGATAGAGATTTGTGGATATATTACACAAACTCTGTGTGAGAATGGATGAGGATGGACAGAGGATGGAAATATTTATTGTTAGAATATCTGCCTGGAGGAAGAAGGACTTGATTTAGAATTAAAATAATGCTTGGTAGCTTCAAAGGATCTCCTCCCAAATATTTATTAATTACTGTGTTGTTTTAACATATGTCCACAAATTCTTTGATACTCCTCCCTCCAGGTGGTAGAAATTAATATTCCTTCCCTTGAGAAACCATACTTGGTGTCATGCTTCTCTGAACAGAGTATGCGGAAGAAAACATAGTAATGAACTGACAGACACCATCTTAACCAAGAGATCAAGGTTAACATCACCAGCAAGGAGTCGTATTGATATTATGCTCAATGATGCTATGAAAAAGGCATTTGCCTAGGTGGCATTCTTCTCCCTCAATCTATAACTTCATCCTAAACATGAGAACACTGGTCATGTTACTTCTAGGTTAAAATACATTGTACAAAATACCTGACCACTACTTTTCAAAAGGGTCAAAGTTATGAGAGACAAGAAAAGACCAAGACACTGTCCAGACTGGGGAGACTAAGGAGACATGGTGATCAATACAATGTGATATTCTGGAACAGGACATTAGTAGAAAAACTGGAGAAATATTAATAAAGTAGTTTAATTGATAGTATTGATCTATGGCTATTTTCTCAGTTTTTTGTTACAGATGGATTTGTATTTCAAAGATAAAACAAAGGTGCCTCTTAGAATTACTGACATAGGGCATAACAAATTTCCCTATACCTCGGGATCTAGTTTGGGGGTCTCAATTCTATGTTCTTAGTTTTGATTAATGTAAGACGTTAATATTAGAAGGAAGCTGAGTACAGGATACATAAGAATAATCTTTATAAATGTTCTCTAAATAAAAAATTATTTTATGATAAGAAGCGTAGCTCTCTTTTTTTTAAAAAAAATGATGCTTGAAATATGAATGAGTGCAGAGGAGTTAGAGAATGCTTCCAGTTGGGGGAGTAGCATACATAAAGGCACAGAGGCTGAAAAGTGTGAGACGAGTTTCAAGGATGAGTACATTTACTTGGTTTAAAAGCAGCCTATAAACCAAGTATGTGTAAGGATTTAGCCAACCTAAATCCTAAAAGATGCTCTAGGGGCAGATTGCAAAACATCCTGTGATTAAGATTGAGAATTTTGCCAAAAAATATTATCTAAACCCCATGCACTTTTAAAAGTATTTATGGTCACTAAACTAATAACAA